TTTTTTGGTCTGAATTTAACAACATGACCAACACCAGACAACAACAACAATATTAAGTTTCTTTTATGTAGACGAAAAAGAATTATGACTATAAAGAAATAAGTTTCTTTAATGCACATGAAAATATTTACCAACTCTAGCGCATAAATGACTGCCGACTTGGACCCTCCATTGTGGACAGACATTCCTGAACCGGGTCCATTCACCTCATTCTGACGGTTAGCTGACCTTTTTCTACAGACCTCCTTGAACTCCGTTTTATTCCACTCTTTCCAGTAGGCTTCCCAAATCGATTTTTGCACATAGCGTGGTTGTTTTTTTCTTTTCCTCAAGTGACTCATTAATTCAGAATAACGATACCCGGCATGTCTCAACCAAACACTATATACATTTCTCTCATTATCAGGTTGAAAAGAGAAGGATTTCTGCAATTAAATATTATAAAGCAATTTAAAATTCTTTGAACCAATAAATTCACAATAATAAGAGATGAATCTTAAAAAAATAATGGGTTATACTTCAAAGCTTCCAAAAGTATAAGGTAGATTTATATTTTTAGGGCTTAACTAATAAAAAAGATGAAATTCTAACCTTGAATAACATCCAATACCAATCCAATGTATCCTTCGTCACTGAAGCCCATGTGTACCCCTCTGGACAAAGTTTCTCTTTGAAGAGTTTAGTCATGAAACTTGAAACATCATTTCCCGGATATAATCTGACATGAAATAATGTTTGACAAGTTCAGATTGACAAATTACTATAATTATAAATTTATAATATGTAAACTCTTTACTTACCTATCCTTGCCCACAATTTCTACGGGTATTCGTGACACTAGAGTTGAAGCCATTGATGATGGTGAAGGTATAGACGCTGATGGTGACAACGAAGCATTATCATCCTCATTTGTACCATGATCTAAATGAAGAGATACCGATGGAGAAGGACTTCTATGATTCCTGGAATCTAAAATTTATATGAAATCAACTTATATTACAATAGATAATTAAATATAAACATAATATATGGAAACTAATTAAAATGAAAGATACCTAATAAAGCATCGAGTACATCAACTGCTTGATCCAACTGTCCCTCTACTGCATCTCCTGCATCACCTGCATCACCTGTCTCCGTACCTACTAAAGAGGGTTGAGTAGTCTCTGTACCTAATAAAAGGGGTTTACCATGTGTATGCAAATTGTTAATTCAATTTAGTCTAGACATTATTATTTACTGCAAAATGATATTATACACATACGCGGAGGTGACACTGAATAGCCACCTTTACGTCCACCATGTGATGGAGTAAAATCGGCCAGTGCCTCTCGTGCCGCCTTCCGTGCTGCCTCTCGTGCTGCAGCTAATGTAGGATAAGACTTACCTCCACGACCCCTCCAACTTGTTCTTGTTCTTGTGCCGCCTCTCATGACTTCAACACCTCTGAAATTGGTAACATCACAGAAGACTCCCATGAAATTAAGGTCACATAAAGCTTATGATATTTTTAAGAAAACAATGATCCATAGTTAAATCAAACTAGCCTAGAGACATACAAGTTTCATTACAAAGATTCATATATTTGTTGAATAACTTAAATGTAAATTGGTTTACAAAGTTTCAGTACCTCAAACTCATATAGTTATGGGTCTAATAATTATGTGCATCAAAATAATTTAAGCTTTAAGCAAGAAACTAATGTTATTGGTTTACATCCAAAATCTTGTCACCTTAAAGTTAAAACATATTTTAAATAAATTTCACACGTGAATAGGCAGTCAGGCCATGTGTGCTTTATATAATCGGTAGTACAACAAATTCAAAGGCTAAGAAGAAAAGTACTTAACCAACAAAAAACAATCGATTTTGCATAATAAGTACACAAACATCGTATGTACACATTTGATCACAATCTGCTCATGGAGAAGATACAGATAATAAACAATTTGTAAGAATAGGAATTTCACTGTTCAACGACAAATGTACAATTTGATTTTTAACATAAGAAATAAACTCTTCTATACACAACGAATAACAAATAAAAGTCACATCTTTAGCACGTCAGGTAAAACTCTTCTATACACAACGAATAACAAACAACTCTTCTATACATTGTCAAAGATATCTCATTTATATTATAATATAATATACACATTACAGATTTAGTGTAATGTGAAGAATATCTTATGGCACTTAAACCAAACATGTTCCTTTGAGAAGAATATGAAGACAAATCAGAACTACTTTGAATATTACATTACATTAAACAGAAAATTCAGAACATATAGGACAGATTGGACATTTTTACTTACTATTGTTGCTTTTGGAGAAGGTTCATGTTCCGGTAGTCATAATTGTCACCTCTTTGAGAAGGTACTCAGGGTTTCATCACCATAGCCGTCAAAGAAGGATAAATAGTACAATTACCTTTCAAAATAGAAAACTGATCTTTATAACTAAAGAATCTACACATTCTTGAATACTGAATGTTGGTGGACAAATACTCTAATCCCACAATACAAGCGAAAACTAATCCTAGTAATATGCGTGATAGAACCACGTTGCTAAGTAATTTCCGCTCAAAAATCTGAATTTGACCAGCTATTTTAATAAGTCCTGATCATAAATAAATTTAGTAGCAAGATCATAATTTGAGAAACATAACCAAATCCTATTAAAAACTTCCTAAATATAAATTCAAGAATTATATAAAACCTTCCAACCTCAACAGTAATAGTTACATAAACTCACAAATAGACTAACTCATCATTCTCATGTAATCTCGGAGCAGTCACTCAGCAATGTAAATGAAGTGTTAAACTTTAGTTTATGCTTGT